CCGCGTTGACAATTATGGACGCTCGCTCCCCTCCCCTACCCCCTTACCCCCTTACCCCCCTACCCCCCTCCTCCGTCCATCCAAAGCACGGGTTAATATCGCGGGCTGCCTGGTAGGGCTTTATCCGAACCTCTCCCAACAAAGGCCCCTTTCGCAAACAGACTCCTACTTTCTCTCAGTGTCCAAAGGTGTTTGCTGAAGTAAATCTGGCTAAATCCTGCGCAGCTTGGCCAGGGAGGAGGGAGGGAAGGTGTACCGATAATCCGTCTTCTTAACCGAAAAGAAAAAAAAAAAGTTCAGGGGTAGAAAGAAAGAAAGGAAAGAGAGAGAATGGAAGAAAGGAATCTATATCACATGATGCCATTTAAGAAGCTGAGGTACCCCTGGCCCTCCCCTCTCTCTCCTCTCTCCCCTCTTCTTTCCCTTCACTCCCTGCGCCCCATCTTTACTTAAGATTTGCATACATCCAAGCCCGTACAATGAAGATATCTCGCGACCGTTCACGCATAAGGGTCAAGGAACTTAACAATGTCCAAAAAAAAAGACTTTGGAAATGGACGGATTCGCGCAAACACCTGCTCGTAGGGTGTTATCTCGGAACTTCCTTTTTGCTTTTTTTTTTTTTTTTGCTCCAAGTATCTACGAATAGTGCAGCCACCCCCTGTCGAAACACTATCTGTCTGTCAGGAGAGCCCAGGTCCCTGCTAGAGTATGGAGGCTATAAAAGGCTTGTAACTAGGGGACGAGCATAAACAACCACAAACACCCTAGTTATTTCGCCCCACCACCTCCACCCTCCACGCCACAACCCGGCAAGCCAGCCCGCCCGCCCGCCCGCCTGCCACCCACCCACCCGTATCTACTCCCCCCCCCCTCCCCCCTTTTCATCTCGGGCCCTGCTTTTTTTTTTTTTTTTTTTCCCTGACGCTGAATGCAAATGCGTAAGACCCCGGGTGCTGGCGGCGAAAGGGGGCTGAATTGTGATTAAGAGGGAGACGAAGGAGCAGGAGAAGAGGAGGTTCTTTTTCTTTGTTCTACCCCCGGGGGATGTTTACCGGGAGAGACACGGCGGATCAGATATGAAAGGCATTCAGGTCAGCATTGATGTGAGCGAAAGTGAAATCGTACCTAAGGCATTCCGAGGAGCGCGGTGTCAAGGGGTCTGGGCCCGCCGTGGCTGCCTTTGCTAGTGTGTGTTCTCTGGCCGCCAGGCGCAAAAAAAAAAAAAAAAAAACATCTCCGCACAGCCCGGGCGGTCCACCAAGGAAGTCCAGAGCGAAATCAACGCAAAACGTGTCAAAATGTTTCGACGGGAAGCAGGGGTTCGCGTTCGGACTCGGGAGCATCGTTCCAATTTGGGGTTATATTGTCTCCGGGGGCGCTACGGGGCACTTTTATCTAAGCTATCAAAGTACACCAATATCAAGTAGCGCAGGAGCAGATCGAGATTACCGAGTTCATCTCACGGAAAGCCCACATTAGAGGATTTGTAGTAGGCCGTTGCTGCTGCTGCTGCTGCCGCACATATATTCACTGTCATAAACGCACCAACCCTGATCCCATCAAAAAGCCTCAATGACCCACAGGCAACACATGCGTTTCCCACATGAAATCCTAATGATATTGTAGCGGAAGTCCATTCATTCACTGTACGTACTCTTGAGTCACACACTTGGAGCAGATGGGATATATTTAGCGCGGGAGTGCGGGAGCTGGGAGAGAGGGACAGAGCAGAGGCAAGAGAAGAAGAAGAAGAAGGAGAAGAAGAAGAATCGGCTCAGAGAATGCGGCCTCCCTGCGCTGTGCTGTGCGATGCGCGGTTGTGACAAGACAAAATATGCTCCCTTATTAGCTCGCGTGGAAGAAATCCTGCGAGCCATTCTACGTAATTGGAATTTCATTGTTCACACGCAAAATAACGCACAAAAAAACACACCCTAGTTATCTGCTGGTTATCTGCTGGTATCTGGAACACTGTGCCCCCTGCAGCCTATGTCATCTCGCACGTTATTTTTTCATAAACAACAATCCGGGACGCCCTCTTTGTTACGTCCCCCCCACAAAAGGAAGGTGTCTCCGTCCGTATGGGAATGGCACCAGTGAATAGCGTCGCGGACAGCCCCTGCTCCTATTGACGGTATAAACATGTAAATGAAACGCATTACCGCTGACAATCAATTGTCCGTGAGCGTCTTGCGAAACCACCTCCTCCTGCCTCCTGCCCCTCTCTCTCTCTCTCTCTCTCTTCCTTATTTTTGCTCCTCTTTTACTTTGACGAAATCTTCCCCCACGACATGAGACAAAGTTTACAACGAATCTGAAGTTTCAAAGCACAGAAACGAAAGCTTGTCTATTCTTAATCTTAACCGTTCTCAACATTTGTCAAACAGTGAGCTCAACAGAACCAGCAGTGCCTCTTGTTCCTCTTGTTCCTCTTGTTCACATTGGCCCTGTTCTATTCCGCCTGTAACGCTGCTGCAGATTATGTAATCAACAGCGGGCATATCCCACACCCAAATGTCACAGCGGCCAAGCTCGCAATCAGGCAAAACGCGAGACGCTACTTGGAACATGAAGGCAAAATAACATCTGTATTAGCGTGTTTTATCTGACGCCGCCACACTCGCCGAGCGCAGAGGGGCTTTTTGATGTCGAAGCAGCGGCTGTGAAAATAAGGACAGGTGTGTGAGTGCGATCCCAGCTGGAAGTGACAAGAAACACCTGGAGAGGGCCAAAGTCTTCCAAGCGACCAGCCCAGCAAGAGAACGTCGTTTCATGTGCGTGTGTGTGTGTGTGTGTGTGTGTGAGTGTTTGTGCTTTTTTTTTTATTTTCACGGTGCAAAGAAAGACAAAAAAGTGCGTGGGGAAGGAGTGGACGAGCTGCAGGATTAATCACACTCGCAATTTGAACGGACGCAATTAGCAGATCGCAAAAAGTGGCAATTGTGCGTGATCATTTCCTTCGCAGACAACAAAATCTCCTGTCTTTTTCTAGTTTACACCAGTGCAAACGTGCTCTGAAACGTCTCGCAAACGGCCTTTTTGTCAGTTCTCCTAAATAAATCCCAAATCGACTCGAAACTGCAAGATGCACCAGATATTTTTCACGAACTGTTCCCCCTCTGAGTAGCCCACAGAACACCTCCAAAGCTAAAAAGTCATCAACGAGAATCAATGAGTCAATGCTAGTGTCTGGTTAATGCTAATTGACACACATCGCAAAGACTCGCCAAAATGGGAGCCCTCCAAAAAAATACAGTTTCTAAATCAGCGTTTTGAAATTCAGTGGAAAAAGCCTGACAGGTGGCACGCAAATTAGTACAAGTAAACGCGCTGCTTGCATTCTACCGAGTTTCGACGCAAAATAAGCTTTAATTGTCGATTGTGGGGGCTCATGTCATTTGTTAGTTAAAGGAAGGAGAGTGGATTGAGGCATTTAGCTGTTAGGTGCTCTGCTCGTGGCTGTGGCGGGTGCTCCTCAGCCCCCCAGCGGAGGGTCTCTCAGCTCCAGAACAGGGGGGGGGAGAGACAGAACGCAGAAGGCTGAGAGAGGAGGAGAGGGTCCCGGGGGGGAGGAAAGGAAAACCGGGCAGGGCATCTACTACACAACCAGCACATCCACAGTCAAATCCAGTTTTAAGAAAAGAAAGATATAGACACGTATTCCATTCTAGGCAACAGCTTTCGGGTGTTTTTTTCCCCCCTCGCTTTTTACAATTTAAATGTAGATTTGGCAGAATTCGTAAAAATAATATTGTGAATTGAAAGCCTTCGATTCCCCAGGGAGGGTTTAAGAATCATGCAAAGCTGATTCCCAGTGTCGTTGTGGAAAAAGAAGTGAACCCAGCCATAAATATTGACACACTGCGTATTTATAGCAACGCATTTTAATATTTTTATATCTGCCAAATAGACAACTAAATCTTATAACGTCTAAATCGTGAAACCACAACTGCTTTTTTCACAACACACTTTCTATTCCGCATGTTTGGAGCTCGGTTTACTAAGATGTCAGCATTTGAAGAAGGAGGAAAAAAAAAAATATCACAGCTTTGAAGATTCATTTTGTTTCATTGAATTCACGCCCGTATTTTGCCTATTAAAACAGGTGGCCCGTCCCGTACTCTGGACCGTGTCTTGTCCTATTATTATTTACAAGCGTCTCCCCTTTTACACATATGCACAGTTCACAGTGAAAACCTCCAGATGCTCTCCCTCTCTCTGTGCTATTTAGTGTGGAACAAAATGCTTGTCTGCTATCGATTGGAGGCGATCAATAAGTGAAATCTGATCTAGATAAATAAGCTATGGGGGCAGAGATTTAAAAAGTGTTGTGGGGCTGAGCAAATAAAATGGCTCGTTGGAACGGCGTAAAAGCGCACACAAGCCTCGTTCACGCACGCAATACCAACACACGGTATAATCAGGAATAACAGGGCCAGCAAATGTCACCGTAGATTTGCCTCTGGTGGGAAAGTGGACTCGAGGCGGGGGAAACGAAAAGCAACGCCAATTAATGACCAGTTTTTTTGTGTTTTTTTTATCGAGCATGTCAACTTGTTTACGCACGTTAGAAAACTCGCTCTAGAATAAGACAAGTCAATGTGGAAAGGGCCTTTTTATTTTAATTTTTTAAAATAAAACACACACAAACGCAAACGGGGGAAAGGAAGGCAGCGCTGGGTGACCAAAGTGTCCCCGTGTATGGCGGACAAGCAGCGCGTAACGTGTCCCAGCTTCGTTTACGCACACAAGTTTCCAAAAAAAAACAAAACACACAACTCCAACTTTGCAACTTTTCTGCTTCCAAAACACACTCGCGTTGGAACGGCACACACCAAGTCGCCGTGTTTTACGCACACTTCGCGACAAATGGAAGAGGGAGTACAGGGACACAGGGCAGGCACAGCGCACCAGCCAGTAAGTCAGCGAACGCTCCAGAGTAAAATCCACAGCTCTCCAAAAATATAATAAGTGTCTTCGGCCGGGGTCGTACTCACCGTTTTTCCGTCTCGGGTTGGCTTGTTTTCGCCGCTTACACCTGGGGCCATCCGCCATCATCTCGTGCTTCATTGATAAGTGCGGTGGTGAGTGGGGATCAGATGGCAGCTCGCATGGACTCTCCTGATTTCAGCCTGAGATCTAACGGGGAAAAGAGGAGGGGAGAGGGAGCACAGGGCACACGGCGTTAGCGTGCATGGGGCATCCGCGAGACCAGTGCAAAAAAAAAAAAAAAGTGGCAGAAATAGTTCCAGGCGCTTCACAAAAGAGATTTCTGTTTGTTTTGGAAGTTTTGCGGGGGGGAACGGTAAAAAAAAGAAAATATTTCGAAACGAACTTTAAAACTGAGGAAGAAAGGGAAAGCTTAATTTAATTCCAAAAGTTTCCACAAACGTTATTTACTTTATTTACCGAAATATAAAATGTAATTCTTTGTTATTCTATCAGATTTGATCTCGTGCGTTTTGTCTTAGGAGTAATTGAGCCAGATTTTCGTGGAAATTTCAAAAGCAGAGCAGCGCTTTTAAACAGAAAAGGGAGACGGAGGGAAAAGAGATAAGACTTCACTTCGGGCTCCAAAGTCTCACACTCCCGTAAACACTCGCCTGGGAAAATGCAACTTTTTAATAAACTCCGCTGATCAACAACAGATGGGAATAATTGTTCAAACGTGACGCACCAAAAGCGCGTAATAAACAACAAAAGCGATAAGAGTCCAGTGCGTTTGGAGTTCGGCTCGTCCACATCCGCGTAAATACTCATTATTGACTATTCTGTTTGTTGTCGCCAAAACACAAACAGACACAAGCGACGTGGGGTCGAGAGGAATAACGGGACGGACATCGCGCTGTGGCTCCAGAGGAGAGCGGAGCGGAGCAGAGCGGAGCGCCTGGGAACAGCACTCTTCCCCGGCGTGCTCCAGGAGGCAGCGGCACCGGCGCGCTGACATCACGAGGTAAAAGGGAGAGAAAAAAGAAAAAGACTCGCACCTAACTTCCACCTGCGCAGGTAACTCCGCTGCACGGCGCGGGAGGGAGCGCGAAAGAGGGCGAAACACCAGCGCACCTACCTGCTTTTGGGGAATAAGTCAGAGAGGGTCCTGTTGTGAGAGGAGCAGGGATGATACGGGAGCGCGTCGGTGAGCGGATCCTGTTCCACCGGTGATAATAAAGCCTTAGAAATAAAGCCTTAGAAATAGTTGGGAGGAGGGAGGGACCGCTGTTTCTGCTAGGGCAGGTTTACAACTGATGCCTTACACCCACTCCAGGAAACAAACCTGGGTAGGGACTGACGTGTTACGCCTCTTCTAATGACATTTTTTTCTTTCCACCTCCTTTTCTTTGCCGTGGAACACAGAGGAGCCCCCTGAAACGCACGCCACCTATCTTCACGGGAGGGGATAATTGAGGGGCGCCAAACGTGAGCATCTTCTGGCTTTTTTTCCCGTCCTCCCTCTCTCCCCTCCGCGTCTCCCTTTCTCCCCCTTTCTCCGGCGCTTCTCTTTTTCACTCAACTATGTCGGGCTTCGGCGCGGAACAGGCGACACCAGTGGGCTCTTTCTGCCCGCGTGTGTGTGCGAGTGTGTGCGTAAAGGGACAAACTTGGAGCGGGTCCACTTCCAGCGCTGACATGTAAGCATTATTTTATCCGTATACTGTCTGTTATTTGTATTCATGCTCATTTATAATTTCTACAATTATTTAATGCATGTAATTGTTTTATTTAATTTATACTTTTTTGCAGTTTGGGGTGAAAGCGTTTAATCAAATCGCAGTCTTTGGACAAATTGTGTAAAGTCACAAATAACTTTTCGAAAGGATTTTTACGCAGGATTATTAATTAATTACATATTCTTTCTCACTAATAGAAACAATTCAAAACGTAACTAACAATTATTTAAGATTTGGGAAATATGCAGCTAAATTAATTTTTTCATATTTTGAAGTCAAGTCGTAGTATAGTGCTGTGGAACTTGGGAAACGCGTGCGTAAAAGTTCCAACGCGCACACTTAACGCTTCCCTTTGCTCCAAGTCTTAAAATTGAAAATGATAATACATGTTTAAAGACACATCCTAAATTTGAATATCACAAATAATTACAATTAATTAGAAGTAAATGAAGTGGTCTGCTTTGAAATCTACATCTGAAATCTTGAAGTAAATCCACTTGTTTCGGACTGAACATAATTGGAACATGCGAGTGATTTTTACGCGACACTTAACCAAATGTATTAAACACCTCTTACTCCCGTCTGTCCCCGCCGGAGCACGCGCACACACGCACGCGCCCGAGGATGGAGAGAGAGAGAGAGAGAGAGAGAGAGAGAGAGGGAGGGAGAGAGAGAACGCGAGCAAAGGAAGCTCCACCTTTGCGCAGCCCTGATTGGTTATGTAAATAAAGTATTATTTGGTGCCCTGTCCTTCCACTGTATGGCTAATTAAATCATCAATCAAGGGGCTCAACTGAACTACCAGCACCCCCCCCACCCACCCACCCACCCACCCCCCTCCAACTCACCCCCCCCCCTCTCTTTCTCTTTCTCTCTCTCTCTCTCTCTCTCTCTCTCTCCAACCCACCCCTCACGCGCGCGCACGCAGACGCACGCACGCGCTTTTCACTCTTGACACACTTCTTCTTCTTCTTCGTCTTCTTCTTCTTCTTTACCCCGTGACCCCCCCCCCCCCCCTCCACGTCCAAAACACATCCACAAACCCACATCTAGATCATTAACAATTAAATACAAAACAGACAGCTCACCCAGACACGTTTTGGGAAATTTATTTTTTCAGATTTGAATTGTTTTGTTGCGATTTATTATTGTCGGTGTTGTAATTTTGAGTGTTTATTTATTTATGCTTTTTTTTTTTTTTACGATTTTTGTTTACATTTTTAATTTGTGTTTTACTTATTATTATTATTATTATTATTATTATTATTATTATTATTAATGTGTTTATTTTTTATGTTTTTATGTCATTAAGTGTGTAATGTTTACTCATTTATTGTCATCTGGACCTGCCTTCCCAGCATGCCTTCTTGTGTCTGTGCATGTGTGGAGACCCAGCCTTCTCAGTCGAACGATTCCGAAGGGGGGGTATGGGAGAAGGTGGGTGCTGGTGGGGGCGGTGGAGGGTGGTGTGGGGTGGGGGGGGGGCTTGCACATCCAGCGTGAAAGCGGATTACCGTCCCCCTCTGACCTATAGGGGGACCCGGTGCTAAATGAATATAGCGGCTCTATTTGCAAGGGCACGCACTGAAGAAGTTGTGTAACGTTTAATATCATGTCTTGTGTGTTGTTTTGTTGGCTTGTTTGGTTTTGTTTTGCTTTTTTTCAACTGTGAATAAAAAACGGAAATATTTGACGGAATTTATCACGGCTGTGTCTTATTTTTTATAATTTTTTTGGATCAAATTTGGAAATGATGGTTACATGAAATTTTATAAATATTCAAATTAGAAGTTGCTAATTAAAACGTATTGTGTACTGCCTATTCGAATCGTAATTAAATATCTGAGAAGCTTTTTAACGTAACTTGAATTTATGCCCCAGAAAAATCAATAGGGTAATTCCATTGAGCTACAAGACAAAAAAAAAAAAAAAAAAAAAAAAGCAGATTTGGGTTAAACGTTGCGAACACTTCATTACAGTTCACGTTTTATCTGCGTATTAATAAAACATTTCACAATACTTCACAGCAACAGTTTCGAGAATCTGAAACGACGACCTAGATAAATCTGGTTTGTTAAATTTGCTTTTTCGCAAAATAAAAATTACTCCGGTTACGCACCCAAGTCCTAACACACTTCATATGTCAGGAATTATAATCGCACTCTATAATTTTACAGTGCAACTTCTGAAACAAGTTAATGTATTTAATATGGGGTCTTGTGGTATCGTGTTTATCGAATCAGGCTTCAAAATGTGTGTGTTTTGGGCACGAAAAAGAATAATTTGGTAACTTATCTTAAGCAGAAAAGTAAATATTTAATGTACTTTATAAGGTGTAATGAAAAGATGAACTGTTAGAAAAATTGTGGTAAATTTCTGCTCCTTCAAACCGCAGTTACACACTTTTTTTGCGTCATGTTTTGTATATTTTGTGGCGTCTTCTTATAAATACGACAGTGATCTAATTTGACACAATTGTAAATAATTTGGTTAAACATTTCTGAATTCTACTTTTGGATAATTCTTATAAAAAAACACATTAAAGCATGAAATTTAATGTACACAAGTGTAAGTGTGATAAAGATAAGGCATGTTTTTATGAAGATTTGATCAAATTTTTACAGCAAATCTAAAATGTATCTTGAATTTACGATAATATTTTGGGTTTTCATAACATTTTTAATTTTCTTTTTCTTATTAACGTGCTTTGAAGAGTCACTACTGTCATATTTCAAAAGATTAAGAAGGATTTTATGAGACAATAAAAGATTATAACAATTTCTTCACTGACACGGAGCAGAGAATTATGGGTAATGTAGTCCACTGTCTCTATACTGCGCAGCTACTACAAATACATTAGTATGAACTGAATATTTTGTCAAAGTACTTTTGATAATGCAAAGATACAGTACTTCTTATACGTTTTGTGTTCAAAGGACGTTTCCATCTGAGCTCCGGGTCGCAATAGAGTCGTCATAGTAACGGTTTAAATCTAAAAAAAATGATGTACTTGTCGAGAAGGCTGCTCGGTGAGAATGGACAGGAGCAGACAGGAGCAGACAGGAGCAGACAGGAGCAGACAGGAGCAGGGGTCAGACAAAATAACTGAAATTCCAACATATTTGACCATTTTAAGACCGCAGTACAAACTGAAATATTTGTGTAGTAGCAGTAATTTGATTTCTTGTTGTCTAACGCACAAGAGCAATTACAGAAGAATTCTTTTAAAGAGACACTACGTAACTTTACTGACCCCTTGCTTTTCTCTGTTAAGACGCTATTGCTTTGTCTTGTCTTGCATTTATTCAATTACAGCTGTTTTATTGCGTAGAAATACCTTTAAATATTTGCAGTTTTGTTACAAGTGGGGTCGCCTCTCCACGGATCTGACCTGTAACTCAACCTGGTAACAACACCTGCTTGTCTCCATGGATATTTATAAGCTTAATGCCATATTTTGAAGCATTCCAGGTGTCTCCATGGATAAAAAATTATGTCAGAGCCTTCACTAGAAAAGTTACACAGTGCAGCTTTATTAATAACTGTAGTGGAAAATAACAAAGTACTAAAGTAAAAGTACTGTACTTCAGTTCAATTTGTACATATCTTTACTTTACTTGTGTACATTTTACAGTCGGTACATTTTACTTTTACTTTACTACATCTGATAGCAGGTATTTATACTTTCTACTGCAAATATTTTTGAACTGGACAGAAAAGTAAAAGTATTTTTTGTTTGTTTTTTATTTTTTGGCTTTTATTTTTTAGCATATTTTGTTTACAGTTTGAGAAAAGTATTTGAAAAAATTAAATAAAAATAAATACTAAACTCTCAAAATCTGACCAAAAATACTTAGCTACTTCAGCACTTATACTTACGTGCAGTACATTTGTTGATGTGATACTGCGATTTGAGTACTTCTTTGCTTCTGTATTTGTACTTTTACTTAAGTAACAGCATTAAGTACTTCCCAAAACTGCTTTTAATAATATTTTTAACATATTTCTATCAACAAACTGTATTAATATGGCTTTTGTACGTATCTGATTTCTCATTTTTGCATGTCTTTTTCTCATTCGTGTGTTGCATTATGGGTAATGTAGTTCACTGTCTATACTATGCAGCTACTACAAATACATTAAAACTTTTGATAATACAAATACAGTACATCTTATACGTTTTGTGTTCAGAGAGGAGGTGTCCATCTGGGCTCCGAGTCGTAATAGAGTCGTCATAGTAACAGTTTAAATCTAAAAAATGACATACTTTTGATTGAGTAAATGTGACACGACGATAATGAGTAAATTCACTTCGTATAAGCGGCTTTGACCGTACGTATGAAGATTGATTTGAGATGGTAAAGAACACGATTCGAACGAGCTCGTAATAGATTTTTGTGGTGAATATTTGTTTGATTAAAAAGTAAAAGGCGAAATTACGACTTCGTTTTGACAATATCGGTATTCAGTCATAACATTTACACAGCAATAATGAGACAAAAACAAAGATATGGTCCAGATCTGATTCAAACAACAGAAATT